TGGGCATAAACCTCAAATTTTATGCAAGTATTTAACTACTCCTAACTTAACTGTCCCTCAAACTTGTTCTGAAATATCCTAATGTAAAGAGTATTATACATTACATATGTACATTTGTATTAGAGAAAGTTTTCATTAATATTAATATTAATATTTAATTTCATCTTCATTAAAATAGTTGTATGTATAAAATTAATTTTAATGTGTATGCTATTTTATTATATATATATATATATATACTCTTCCAAGTTCTGATCTACTGGCTTAGTCTGTACACATAAAAATATCAATTCCATTGACACAGTTACATTTAACTAATTAGTATCATTATTACTTTAAATAATAAATAGTTTTAAAATATAGTAGATGAACTGCATGACCTTATACTAAACAAGTAAGTGTTAGTCACTCAGACGTCCCTGACTCTTTGCAACCCAATGGACTGCAGCCCACCAGGCTCCTCTGTCCATGAAATTTTCCAGGCCAGGATACTAGAGTGGGTTGCCATTTCCTTCTCCAGGGGATCTTCCCAAACCGGGGATTCAACCCAGGTCTCCAGCACTGCAGGCAGATTCTTTACAGACTGAGCTACAAGGGAAGTCCCATGACCTTATACCACCTAGTCATTATCAAGACATCTTCCCACTTCTTTCCATCATTGAGTTCTTAAGGAACTTTCCTCTCAGTCTGCCCTTATCTCATGCTTTTAATAAAGTGGCTAATACATGACCTTATTCATCCTTGACTGTGAGGTACAATGGCAAACCAGAATTTCCCCTGGGATGCTATGGCTGACATCTTCAAAAGTAAGGTAGAATTATCGATGATGGAACTTTAGAAGTTTCAGAATTCAAGTTCACCCTGAGTAAACTTTGATGCTTATCTGAAGCTTATTCAAATCTTCTGAATCAGTAAAATTGAGCTGTAAATGTCATTAGGCAGTCTTTCTCATGAGATTTAGTATATTTTAACTTCTGTTCCAAACTAGGAATACCAAGAAGACAATTTCTCTTGCAATGTCCTTGTGGCTCTTTTTCAAGTCTTAAATCAAAAGGTGAGAATGGAAATCAAAGGGAAAATAACAGAACCTAAGTTTACTAAGATAGGTAGATTGACAGATATAGATATATACAGATACATAGGTTTATGTAATATGGAAATTTTTATATAATGCAAATGGAAAAATCAGAAAACATGATATTTGTTCTGTAGTTTTCAAAACTATAGTGTGTCTGGATTCAGTTTTCTCATTCAATGAGTGTGTGGAATTAATAGAATGTATGTCATTAATGGGTTTTCAGGACCAGAAAAAGAATCCATCTATGAAACTCTATTTCTATCCACTAAAAAGCCATACTGGCAATGTGGATATTAAGGAAACCTAGAAGGAACATTTTAGTACCTAAGTGCCTTCAAATCTTATGCTGAGAAGGAATGACATAAAATCAGGACCAATGTCATATCTCTATAATTTTAGTTATATATCTACATACATAAATTTATATTTTGACATGTTTTTATTTCAAATACTGATAAATTGGAATGCTGGGCATGGTGACTAAAGCTCAGTAATAACAGAAAGGAAAATAAATCAGCTTATAGACACACTTCCTGAATTTGACTGCCAAGGTTGCTGCTTTTATGCTATTTGATCTTGGTCAACTGAATTTAAGAAACTTCTTGTTACTAATCTGTAAATATGGATAATGATAACAGTTAATTCATTATTGTTGGTGAATGTAAAAAATAAGCATTAATCTCTTAGCACAGTGCCAAGCATAAAATTAGTATTAATGTCTTAGTATTACTTTTCTAAACTTTTTTCTCTATACCTTATATGTCATGAACTGTAGAGTAGGGTTTATAATGTTTTAGCTTCCTATATTCAAACTGTTACATTTCCTATGAAATTTCCTTTTTTGAATATCTTGTCAAATCCCTGGTGCTCTACTCTTCCACTTTTCTGTCATCCAGATGTCTTGCAATTATTCCTTATTCATTCTTCAAGAACATAAACTTGCATTACATTTCATACATAAATTATTACATATACCCTGTGAAATATGTCAACAACAGGAACTCTCCAAATTTTTAAATCATGTCAAGAAACAACAGAATCAGAGTAACTCACTGTTCAAAATTGGGAAAGGAGTATGTCAAAGCTGTATATTGTCACCTTGCTTATTTAATGTATATGCAAAGTACATCTTGCAAAATGCCTGGCTGGATGAAGCACAAGGTGGAATCAAGATTGCCAGGAGAAATATCAACAAGCTCAGATATGCAGATGACACCACTCTAATGGCAGAAAGTGAGGAAGAACTAAAGAGCCTCTTGATGAAGGTGAAAGAGGAGAGTGAAAAAGTTGACTTAAAGCTCAACATTCAGAAAACTAAGACCATGGCATCCAGTCCCATCACTTCATGGCAAGTAGAAGGGGAAAAGTGGCAGCAGTGACAGATTTTATTTTCTTGGGTTCCAAAATCACTGCTGATGGTGATTGCAACCATGAAATTAAAAGATGCTTGCTCCTAGCAAGGAAAGCTATAACAAATCTAGACATCACATTAAAAAGCAGAGACATCACTTTGCTGACAAAGTTACATATAGTCAGAGCTATGGTTTTTCCAGTAGTCATTTACAGATATAAGAGTTGGACCATAAAAAAGGTTGAGTGACAAAGAATTGATGCTTTTAAACTGTGGTGCTGAAGACTCTTAAGAGTCCATTGGACAGCAAGGAGATCAAACCAGTTAATTCTAAAGGAAATCAACGCTGAATACTTTTTGCAAGGACTGATGCTGAGACTGAAGCTCAAATTCTTTGGCCACTTGATGTGAAGAGCTTACTCGTTGGAAAAAAAAAAAACCTGATGGTGGGAAAGATTGAAGGCAAATGGAGAAAAGGGTGCAGAGGATGAGATGGTTAGATAGCATCACCACCTCAATAGACAAGAATTTGAGCAAACTCCAGGAAATAGTGAAGGATAGAGGAGCCTGGCATTCTGCAGTCCGTGGGGTAGCAAAGTGAAGTGAAGTGAAAGTCGCCCAGTCAAGTCCAACTCTTTTTGACCCCATGGACTATACAGTCCATGGAATTCTCCAGGCCAGAATACTAGAGTGGGTAGTTAGCTGTTTCCTTCTCCAGGGGATATTCCCAACCTAGGAATTAAACCAGGGTCTCCTGCTTTGCAGGTGGATTCTTTACCAACTGAGGTATCAGAGAAGCCCAAAGCTATCAAGGGTCACAAAGAATCAGACACAGTTTAGCAACTGAATGAAAACAACTATATATATCTTTTAAATATACACATTATAAATACATATAATATATAGGAATCAAGTGAATATTATTAAGCAAATGAAACCCCAAAATCTATGGGTGTTGCTGTTTTTGAAAGTAGGGAGTATGTTAGAATAAATTAAAAGTTAAAATATATTAAAACTGTCTGTGACTTCAGTTATGACCAATCCACAAGTATACTTGCACATGATATATATGAATATGATTCAACATTTAAGTGGACCAAACAGAAAGCTTCCAAATTATAAGTGCACCAAGAAAAAAAAAATGCAAAGGTAGATCATACACTTTATTTTTTTAAATGTTTAATGTCATTTGACTTAACAATAAAATCAATTGAAGTTTGAAATGCTAAATGTATTTCATTATTCCCTTTACAGAGTAGTAAAATATTCAGTGGAAAATATCTACAAGTCCAAACACAAAAGTGTAGTGAAGTTAGAGTACAATGTTAGGACATAATATTCCAAATCAACTTCAGTTCTCAAAATTTAATTTGACCAAGAGAAAAAAATAATTAGAAATATGTTCTGTGTTAGTAAAACATGAAATAAACATTAATGTTTATTAACAGAACTTTTAAAAATTATAATTATATATAGTTTGGAATATTAAAGAGTCACAAAACATCTATAAACAATTTCTTATAACTAGTAAATGAAACAGATTTCAAGACAAAATGTGTAAGACTAATGTTGACTTTGAATGAGAAAATGTTATCAAATAATTGTTGGTTACAGCCTAAAGGACTACTGACTGTTACTTTCAATGTTCTACACTTCTATATTTTTATAAAGTTTTGCAACAGAATACATTACTCTTGTAATAATACTAATTAAAGACATTTTCTTTATTTTTTTTTAATCTCAATGGACTTTAAAGCATTCATAAAAGGAATAAATGCATATTGCACAAACAGTGAAAGCAAATGTTCCACCAAGCAATTCAGTTCCAGGTGGGGACAACAGCATTAGCCTAATATATGACAATGATTTCAGAGGAGCAAGTGTTCTTTTCTGTAAATGAGAAAGCTGTGAGACAACAGAAAGTCTGCCACATGAAGAGTTAGAAGGAAAAGATACAAACCCAAATTTAGATGTAAAGCAAAAAAAAAAAACAAAAATAAAATAAAATTAAATATTGAAAAACTGGAAACTGTGGCACATCAAAAAATGCTGAATAACTGTCTTCTGTTGTGTCAACAAAAACTCAGCTCCACAGAAGACATTTTCTTTAAAAATACACACTTCCTTGCTGCACAGTCTTTTGATTGAACAACCCAAACTAATAATAAGTTCCTATAAAATGTGCTAACTTTATAGGATGAACAATTCCTTCATCAACTAAATATGAAAAGATAACCTGAGAATGGGTTCAGTTAGAGTAGCTTATTTCCCAGTATTGTGAAAATTAAGATGTAAGCCTCATTTGTTAAAAATAATCAGAAAATTCATTATTATGTTCCAGGAGTTATATTGCTAAATCTAACTATCCTATGTGACATGTTGTAAATAATCTCATGATGCCTGTGGGCCAAGTTCCATAACCTGTGGAGAATTGCATTATAGTAGATACAATGGGACCCAAAGAAGCCCAGCTAAAAATCTTAGAAATGTATACCATGTGGCAGAGAACTTTCTATATTACATGGAGAACAATTCAGTTGTGTGTCTTAGGGCACAATAACTTACCCGTGCAGTAATTACTGGGATGAGTCACAAAGAACTGGATTCAAAGGTCTCAAAGACTAAGAGGGCTCTTTTTATTAAAGGACTTATGTCAGTGCTATTTACTTCCCGCTGATCTTTTATAAATCTTGCTAGTCTCATAAATCTTCTTAGTCTCCTTTCAGTCTCTTTTTTATATGTTAATACATCTTAAGAAGCAAAAGATGATGCCAATTTTCTCCTGGTATTATTGCCTTAAGGAGCAGAAAGGAAAGACCCAAGCTTTAGGAAAATGAATGCTCATATAATAAATTGGATCAGTAAATTAACACCAAACTGTATACATACAAAATAGACCAACAGTTATTTCTGCATTCCTATACAAATTGATAAAGAGTCAGTTTATTTATGATTTTTACTATCACACATTTTTTACATACTCATTTTTATAATAGTAAAATAGAGATAATATCCCAAATACTTTTAAATAATATTTAATAAGTGAATAAATAGAACTCACTGCACAGCTCCAACTTTTTAGTCATTGCATAATATTTTTTTTGCTACTTTCAGGTTATCTGAGGGTGACCTGAAAGGGAAAAGGACAGAAGAATTAAGAATAGAACACTCAGGTCTCAGCAGTTCTATCTGAGAGCCTCAGCTCCGCTACACTGCCTCATACTGGGCTCTATCTGTGGGTTCTAAAATCCTAATAATGCCTGGTTACTATAAAAATTGTTCCTTCAGATCTATCAGTTATTACTTTCATTTCACCTCCTTTAATCTCAGTACAGTGAAAATGAAAATCACTCAGTTGTATCCAACTCTTTGTGACCCCATGGTCTTTCCTTTCTCTCTGAATCTCACTTTCACAGCCTCAGCTACTAGCCCTCAACTTATTCTGAATAAGCTACCTTATTTTGTCATCAATTCTCTCTCACTAATAACTTCAAATTGCCTGTTTCCTGTTCATCCATACTACTGGGTGGCCACATTTCCTCAGAATTCAGTCAATGCCCATTCTTCTTCCATTAAAAAAAGGGGGAGGGGTCTTTAGTGTCCCATGCCTGTTTTAACAAATAACCCCAAACTTGGGACCTTAAAACAGCATACTTCTCTTGAAACGATCACACTTTATAGGGTCATCCAAAATCAGTTTCCCTGGGCTGAAATCAAAGTGACAGAAGTGCCAGATTCCCTCTAGAGAGTCTCTGGGAAGATCAATTTCATGACTTTTCCAGCTTTTAGCTACATTTCTTACATTCTTTGACTCATGACTCTTTTCTTCATCATCAAAGACAGCAGCATAGTTTCTTGCTTCAGTTCACACATTGTCTTTTGTTCTGTAGTCAAATCAAACTCTGAATTCCACTTAAAAAAACACTCAATTATATTTATGGCATATATGGATAATCTCAGTATCTCAATACCCTTAATTTAATCACATCTACATAATTCCTTTTGCTACAAGTTTCTGTGAACTAGGTTTTAGATATTTGGAGATGCTATTAGACATCCTACCAAAAATTCAGGTGGTTTTCACTGTTCAAGAAAAATTATAATTGTGTTGGTGGGTGCTATTACAAATTCTTGGGCTTCCATTTTATTTAAATCTTCAACCACTGTCATCATTCTGCTTTATGGCAAATTGAGTCATGGGGCTCACTGCACCAGTCCCAGCCTCAATTGCAACAGATGACTTACAATACAGTTACTTGAGCAAAATCTCTGTAGCCAGTGCCCATATTCTGCTCTAAACCTTGGATTAGGATTATGTAATCAAACACACAAATGGAATTTTGGCGCTAAGTCTCTTATATTCTTTCTACCCTACTCTTCTGTTAGATATCAATGTTCCATATTTCAGAAAAAAATTAGACTATATGAGACATGTTACATCCTTTTATACTTTTCCAATTGTGACCTCTTCTTTCAGAAACTTCTTTTTGCATCTCATTTAAATGATTCTACCCTGGTTCGTTCCAAGTCATAATACTGCTATTCCCTATATTTGATAGATATCTATTAAAAACTTTTCCCTGGGCAAGAAAATGACAACCCACTCCAATGTTGTTGCCTAGAGAATCCCATGGACAGAGGAGCAAGAGGTCTACAGTCCAAGGGATCACAAAGAGTTGGACATGACTGAGTGACTAACACACATTAAACACTTTTAGGTCTATTAGGGCTTCCCTGGTAGCTCAGTCAGTAAAGAATCTGCCTGCAGTGCAGGAGACCCGGGTTCAATCCCTGGGTCAGGAAGATTGCCTGGAGAAGGAAATGGCCACCCACTCCAGGGTTCTTGCCTGGAAAATGCTATGGATAGAGAAGCCTGGTGGGCTGCTTGCTGTCCCAGGGGTAGCGAGAGTCAGGCACGACTGAGCGACTAACACTGTCACACTTTATTAAACACTCTTAAGTTAAAAATTCACATAGAATATTCCTCAACAGACTGTGACACCTCAGCCTTTTTAAACAGTGACTGTTTATGTATTTTGGCTGTGCTTGTTCTGTGTTGCTGTGTGCGGTCTTTTTCCAGTTGCAGCGAGCGGGGCTAGTCTTTGATGCAGAGGACTTCTCATGCAATGTCTTCCCTTGTGGGGAAGCTCTAGGCGCATGGGCTCCGAAGTTGTGGCATACAGGCTTAGCTGCTCCTTGGCGTGTGTGATCTTCCCAGACAGGGACGGAACCCAGGTCCCCTGCATTGGCAGGCAGATTCTTACCCAGGGAAGTTTCCTTCAATCTCTTTCTAAACAGTAATATTACCAAATTATAAGTTATGTCCTCCACCATGCCCAAGCAGAGTACTCTAATCTATTTCTACTTGGGACCCTTGTAGCTCAGCTGATAAAGAATCCCTGCGATGCGTGAGACAAGTGCTCGGGCCTGGTGCACTGGGAAGACCCAGAGGGATCAGGTAGAGAGGGAGGTGGGAGGGGGGATCGGGATGGGGAATACATGTAACTCCATGGCTGATTCATGTCAATGTATGACAAAACCCACTTCAATATTGTAAAGTAATTAGCCTCCAACTGATAAAAATAAATGAAAAAAAAAAAAGAATCCTGCAATGCAGGTGACCCCGGTTCGATTCCTGGGCCAAGAAGATCCCCTGCAGAAGGGATAGGCCATCCACCTCAATATTCCTGGGCTTCCCTGATGGCTCAGCTGGTAAAGAATCCACCTGCAATGCAGGGGACCTGGGTTCGATCCCTGAGTTGGGAAGACCCCCTGGAGAAGGGAAAGGCTACCCACTCCAGTATTCTGGACCAGAGAATTCTGGGTGGCAAAGAGTTGGACAGAAGTTAGCGACTTTCACTTTCACTTTTGCATGAAACTTCATGCTACAGGTCATATATCTAAATAAGAAAAATCTTCCATCATGTTTTTAAAGAGGTAATATGTCTGATTAATTAAAAAGAGGAACAAGCTATGTATGGTTTGGGAGGATGAATGAAACTGTGCTGCAGAAAAAGCAAATAATTTGCTTTGCTGAAAAAAAAGCTAAAATCTACATCCAAAAATAATGGAGAAATAATGTTAAGATGACTTCTGAGTAGAGAACCTTGACAGTAAGCTATAACAAATTGAGGCAAAAGACAGTAAGAGTCAACCTAGAACAAGGGAAAATTTTCATAGCATTTATATTGATCAGAGAGAAAGATTTATTGAAAAAACAAGTAAACATTGTATTTTATATACTGCATATAACAAATATTTTAAAACATTTTTAAAACTGTAACTGCTATGAGTTTGTTTAAAGCAAAGGCAGAAGAACAAAGGAATTTCTGAAAGAAAAACTGCTGATCAGGGATATGACAATGAGGAAGTGGACTTGAGGTATTTGGAGGCAGAAACTAACTTGGCAATTAAACAAATTTATAATACAACTACACTAAAAGTTCTTGCATAAGATACATCATGAAAGCTTGATACAAATCTTCATGGCAAGGAACCCTACTTCAATATTTGACTTCAAGGAAGAATGTAGGCAGATCTCCGGAATCTGTTTTTGATTTGTTTTGGTTTTGCCTTTCTTTCTTTTATTTAAACAAGTTCTTATGCATATTCTGATGCGTAGCAAAGTTTGGAAGACTTTTAAAAGTTTAGCTTTGTAGAGTTTAAAGGGATAAGAAGGGATTCGAGGGAAAGATATTTTATACAGTAATAAAATATCACCAATTATATTAGCACTTATTTTTTAATACCTGCTTCAAAATCTTTATGGACAGTATCCCATTTATTTATAACAATGTAATGTGGTATGTTCTATAGTCAAATCCATTGTATTGATATTTAAGCACAGAGTCAAAGAGATAAAGTAAACTGTCTTGGGTGATAAAGCTGAATCACTGCTCAAATCACTCAGAACACCAGAACCATCATTCAATAAATGGGGGACAATGCTTTGCTGGTGCCCTCAAATAACCAGCCCCAGAAGATATTTTAGAAAGGAGTGATGTTAAGAGAGATGTGTAGGAAGGTTACTTGTACATTCTTTCTAAGAATATATATTTCTAATATAATTACATGCATGATACAAATTTATAACCATTCAAAGTCCAAGTTTGCTAAAATACTGGAATAATGTAGTTATCTCTATTGAAATAAAGAAATATGTGTAAAAGTCTGCACAAGGATTCACCCTCACCAATGCCATCATCCTATATTTACAGCCCACCACATAGGTAAAATCCAAAATGACATGAATAAAATACCTAAGTATGACTTCACAGTTAAAATGAATCTTATCAGTCTATCCAGTTAATACTAACCAAGAACTTCAGAACAAATACCCTGTAGTATTCATTTTTGACATGGAATTTAAACAACAGATTTAACAGTTGTAGATTGGAGTAGAGAAAATTAACTTTCCAATCTCAGATTTTATAAATACAAGTATATTGTCTCCCCCTCCCTCTCTCTCTCCATCTCTCCCCTCAGAGTGCAATGAGAACTGAATCTAGAGATAGAAAATATGGTAAAAGTTTACAGGATCCAATGGGACCCCACACATGAAAGCATTCATTTTGCAATCCCTGCGGCTATTCACTGGCTCTCAAAGATGGTTTTGAAGCTTTAAGAGATTATGATTAAATAGGATTTTACCAAGAGAAATCTCAGCTCTTAGCTTCAAAAGTCATCATGAAAATATTCTCCTAGCTGCCAAATTCAATTGGCACTACTGAACAATGCTTTTACTTTCAAAATCTCACTGTTAAGAAAAACAGATGACATAAATGTTCCATATTAGGGTAAAGCAAAAGATTGCCTAAAACAGTCTTTCCCAAACTGTATGTCAAGCAACATGGTTGCACAGGTTTTAATACTGCAAAATAATTTTTTTAAATCAAATACATTTAGGAAACTCTAGGTTAAAAAGAAAAGGTTAAATACATTGCTTTTCCATATTACTTAGTAGACCATATGAAGAGTTTTTGTTAATCTCTAAAGGCATGGGAAGTAAAATATGCAATCTTTTCTAAACACATTTTTACACAGATTTCTTTCTATTCTACAATATAGCTTACCAAGTGAAACAACATTAAAAAAAAAAAAACCTACATTGGAGTCTAACTATGTCTAAAT